ATCAGATGAGTGGATACGGAAAATGTGGTCTATCTACACAATGGAATACTACTCAGCTATAAAAAAGAATGAAATACTGCCATTTGCAATGACATGGATGGACCTAGAGAGAACTATATTAAGTGAAACAAGTCAGGCACAGAAAGAGAAATATCGCATGTTCTCACTTATTTGTGGGAGCTAAAAATAAATACACACACACACACAAAACACGGGGGGGAAGACATAATGATTGCAATTCCTTGAAGTTGATATGGCAAGCAAACAGAAAGGACACTGTTGGGAGGGAGGGGGGAGAGGGAGGAGGAAGGGAGGTTTCGGTAATGGGCCACAATAATCAACCACATTGCATATCGACAAAATAAAATAAAATTTAATTTAATTTAAAAAATAATAAGATGGCATTTAATAGGACAGCCCTGACATTATGAATAGGGTTCTACCTTTTAGAGGGCAGATCTCACTCTTTATCTGTGGGTTATCTGCACATATATTAAAATTGATAGCTCTCTATTCTTATAAGTATTGTCATGCCACATACAGATCACAAGTCTAAAGTTGTGTGTTGAATACAGACAGCCAGTAGGAAACATGATATGTGCCTTGAGTAGCTATCTTTTTAGAGGGTGTTGGGGAGACCAAAGATGGCCACCTCCTCTGTTGCATAGATCTATTCATCTACCAGGATGTCCAGAATCCACCCTCAGCTCTTCCTGAAAGAAATTAAGAAATTTAGCTCTGGCATTAGGGCCTTCTCTGGGGCCATTCAATTTCTATGAAGAAGACTCTGTTTCCTATGTAAGGGAAGATGCTTGGCTGTCAGAGTTCTTAGACACACAAGGTCAAGGGGGATTTGGAAGTGGGGTTGCCTCATATGCATACTTTTAACAAATTCCTGTCTTCAGCCTTACTACTGTAATGTGACAGTGGTAGCAGCTGGACTGGCTCCACTTATCACACACCAGCAACGAGAGACCAGCCTACAATGTGCATACATACACCTGCTGCCCACCAGCCTATGCTATATGTAGCCTATGGGTTGACCTACAGGCTCCTCACATACAATGTGGGCTCAGACCAGTGCCTTCTCCTCAAACTTGGGTGGTACTCTCAGAATAAAACACATCAAAATGCCAAAGACAGCAAAAATATGAGGAAAAAAATTACAGAAAGCTATCTGGAAAATTCCCAAATATTTGGAAATTAAACAGTTCACAGGTTAAAGAAAAAATGAAAAGAGAATAAAAAAATATTTTGAACTGAATGAAAACACATCAATATTTGTGAGAAGCAGCTAAAGCAGTGCTTCAAGGGAAATTTATAGCATTAAATGCTCATATTAGAAAAGAATAGAAAAGAAGAAAGTGTCAATCAACGATCTAAGCTTTAACATTACAAAACTGAAATAAAAAGAGCAAATTAGATCCCAGGTAAGTAGAAAGAAAGAAAGAATAAGGCAACAAGAATCAATGGATAGAAGATGAACAAGCAATGAAGAAAATCAATAAAACCAAAAATTTATTCTTTGAAAAGAGAATAAAATAGATATTTTTCTAGCTAGACTGATAAAGAGGAGAGAAAGACACAGATTACCAATATCAGGAATGAGAGAGGGTATATCACTACACATCCTATAAGCATTAAAAGGATAATAAGGAAATTATGAATGACGTTAAGCCAGCAAATTCAAAATCTTTGAAAGACAAATTATTTGAAAGATACAAACAACCTGAATATTCCTGTATCTCTTAAAGAAACTGAATTCATAATTTAAAACCTTCCAACAAAGAAAACTACAGGCCTAGATGGCTTCACTGGTGTATTTTATCAAGTCTTTAAGAAAAAACCAATTCCATTTCTACATAAACTCTTCCAGAATATATAGGAAGACAGAATACTTTCCCACTAGTCTCATGAACCCAGCATTACCTTGATACCAAAATCAGACAAAGGATTCATAAGATTAATATCTCTCATGAACAGAATTAAAATTCTTACAAAGTATTAGCAAACAAAATTCTGCAATATATAGAAAGGATAATACCAAGTAATGCAAAATTTGCCCAACTTTCAAAAATCGACCAAAATAATTTACCATGTAACAAACAATGAACAAACACTTATAATCTTCTCAATAGATGAAGAAAAAGCATTTGACAAAATTTCAATATTCATTTATGATAAAAAGCTCTCAGGACATGAGTAAGGGACAGGAATTTCCTCAACTTGATTAAAGAACTCTACGAAAATCTTAGAGCTAACACCAAACTTAATGGTGAAAGACTAAATGCTTTCTCTAGGGTCAGGAAGAAGACAAGGTATTCATTCTCACCAGTACTACTTAACACTGCATTCGAGATCCTAATGAATGCTATAAAGCAAGGAAAAAAGAAAAAAGAGGTTGGACATCATCAACACGGTGGAATAGACGGTCCCCAGTGTCACTCTCCCCAACAATCAACCAATTTACAACTATTAAAAAGCAAAGACTGACAACCTGAGACCACTGGAGCTTAAGGGAAGTAGAGTAGAGACCCACAGAGTTCATGAAGGCAGGAGAAGGTTCAGTGAGAGAAAAAAGAAACCACTCCCTGTGAGAGGCAGGAAGAAACTGCAGCACACAGAGCAGGAGCCAGCAAAAGCCCCAGCTGAGCCCTTTCCATCAAGCTGCCCAGAGTCTGCAGGAGAAAAGAGGGCTTCGGAGCAGACCCTACCAGCCCCCAGGCCAGTGAGGCCACTGACAGGGTTCCCACAGACCCACATAGCAGTGAGGGCTACACCCAACTGAAGTAACCACCCAGAGGCTGGTGAGTCATTGTGAGGGAGCCAAGCATGGCCCACCCCAAGCTGGTCTGCCTTCTCACTGGCACAGGCTCACTCAGTGGAGACTGGTCAGCGTGTCAGAACTGCAGGGAGTAGAGTTTGCTGGAAAGACTTATTCTCGGGCCAGAATTTCCACACAGCCTAGGTGTATCTGACCTCACAAGAACTGGAAGTAATTAAAAGGCCAACAATTAAAATCCCATCAGCACAAAAGGCCTTCCCCAGAGAATCAGCAGCAAAGCAGCAATTTAGTGCAACCACAGAGCTCAAAAGCTGGTCCCCACAGGAAGTTCCCCCAATTTAGGAATTAACCAAGCCTAAGACCAGACACAAAGCTCTGATATTGGCCAGAAAAGGTCTAGCACCACCAAAGGACACCTATAAAACCTAGAAGAGGTAGCAGTATCCTCAAATGTCGAGACAACGTAAAGACACAAAGATCAACAAAGAACAGAGAAATGTGACACCAACAAAGGAAACAAACTAAGCACCAGCAATGAACCGAGCAATCAGAACCCAACAACACATGAAAGAGCTCATTTGCCATGATCATGTGGGACTCATCCCAGAGGTGTAAGGATGGTTCAACATTTGCAAATCAATAAATGA